ACAGCCGAAGTGAGCTCATGGAAGACCTTTGGAGGAACGTAGGATTCCAGAGATGGTGGATCTGAACCACCTGGTTCTTTGTTTTCTCTAGTGAAGTATGTCTCTCTTTGCGTGTTATATGAGATAACATCTGAAACTACGGTAGCCCTCAGGTTGGACTCTGCTGCTTGCTACCCTCTTATGCTGCCTGTTTGAGGAAGCTGTCTTCTCTGCACACTTGTCCAGTCAGTTACTCTGCTAATGTCACCTCCACCTTTTGTTTGGCTTATTGGTACCACCATGTGGGGACTCGCTGAGAACTGACTAGGATATTTTGTCACATCTACAGATTTCAGAAGCTGCAGCTATTTGTTTGTTGACTGGGTGATTCTACCAGGCAGCTTTTTTTTTTCTAATGGAATGTTCTTTCATCCTCCTCATTTTCATTCAGTGTGCAGCACACTTTTTTCTCTATTTGTAATGAAAAGGAGATTGAGTTTGTGAATAGGGAAATTCTCTTTAAAATACTCTAGTTGTTTTAGCTTGCAGCTTCTCAGAAGTCTCTTGAATAGTGTTATTAGCAGCTCTGCTGATTTTTTTTCTTGCCTTGCAGCTACCCCTACACCACTTCGGTGTATAAAGGCACTCACTCTGCAGAAGCAGAGTTAATTCATCTTTGACAGATTTCAGCTTGGCTGCTGCTTCTTGTATAAAACTGTGAGAATTGCCTGCGTGCTGTTGTTGAGAAGAATGTGCTGTGAGAGACTGATAATCGCAATTATGCAAAATTGCAGTCTGTGCTTCTTCCCAAGAGCTTCCGAACAGTCATATTATCAGATATATTACTGATATACTATAAAATACCCACTGTAAAATTTAACATCTGTCATCTCTCTTGTCTGCAGACATACAGTGAAGTCTTTTCAAAGAACGCTTTTGACAGACAACCTCGTGTTAAGAGGCTGACCTGAAGTACCCTTTGTATTTGTAGTCCAGTCTTCATTGTCCCCTTCTGGAAAGCTGCTTCTGCTGAGCCACTGATCTGTGTAGATCCTTCAAAGGGTTGTTTGACCCAGACTGTCTGAAGAGTTATCTACCTTTTTTAATTTTTAATTCCTTTGGGTTCTGCTTAGCCAATTCATTTTCAAGTTTGAATCTCCTCTTCAGTAGGCTCATGTGGAATCTGTTCCATGGTGTTGCTGTGCAATGAAACAGTCCTTAGGCTCTGTTTCTTTCACTGCATATTTGCTGTGCCTTGAATACTGATTAGAACAGGGAGCATGGTTTCCAGTCATGAGTAGGTGCTCATTTATGGAAGAAGTTTGGGGCAGAAATAGTCTAATGTATCATACTTTCTGAATTTGTATGCAGCTGAAAGCTTTTTTTGAGATATGAAGGTAGTGTAATACAGCTTGTTTGGTTACTGTTTTCAGTGGTGAGGATACAAAGGGAGCTGCAGGTAGAGTGCATTGCCTATGGTCAACCTCTGCAGTAATTTTTTTGACGAAACAGGAGGCATTTATGTGGCATGTAGGGACATTGTTTAGTGGTGAACTTGGCAGTGTTAGGTTTATGATTGGACTCGATGATCTTAAGGGTGTTTTCCAACCCAAACGATTCTGATTTCTGCAGAATTTCCCATAATATCAATGGTTTTGTTTTAACGTGCACTTCTTCTCCCTGAAGGATGCGTGTTCTTTGCAAGGATGATGACAAGTTAGAGATTTGTACAGGCTTCTACCTATAGTAATCTGGGCATCTTTGTTATGGCATATAAAGTGCTGTATTTCCTTGTACTCTGAGTGGCAACTTGCAATGTCAATTGCAGTATGAATAAAAGACTATGAATGTACTCCAAGAGGCTGAAGGGAGAAGTGGTAATTAGATGATAATTACTCATGAGTATTTTAGTTAAAAGTTGCAAATTCTTTATACTGAAGAAGTGATCTTTGAGCCTTGCCTCTTTGCAGTGTATTTGTTGTGCTTTGAACACTGAATGGATTTAGATTTTTTTCTAGTCATGAGTTGGTTTACTCGTGGGAGAAGTAACTATCTGTACAGTTATTGCAAGCCAGTCTGATTATTGGAGACGACACGTGCTTATGCCATATGACTTAAGATTTCCCAGGCTTTCAGGTTTAGGCCATCATAGGCTTTAGTTGCTGAATGGAGAGCAGTGAGTGGAAATCACATACCGTTTGGGTGCTTGTAGACTTAATAGATGAAAACCTGTATATCCTGAACATCTAGGGGTGTCATGTAAATTGGGCACTTTGGGGAATATGTCCAGAGCTGTGCTACTGCTTGTATACTAGTAATTGCCATAGTGTACTTAAAGATTTAATTGTTGAGTTATCCCTGTTTTGAGCTATTGCTGCAAAAGCCTTTGAAAGTCTAAATTATTTTATTTATTTATCTGTTTGTTTGTTTGTGTGTGTAATTCAGGAAAACAAAGTGAGGAAGACTGATTCATAGTTTTATTAGGTTCATCTATTCCATTGCAAGACAGAAGGATGGAGTAAGCGTCTTATGGCTGATGCTACGGAGGAC